GATGGGGAGGGGGAGGGGGGGTGGAGTGGGGTGGTGGTGTATAATTATTACCGCATTTCCTACAGTAACTGCCTAGAAGCCAGCCAAGAGCACAGCTTTCTGTTGGGACAATGTACAGAATAATATAGTCCTAAGCTCCGACAATGTCATAGATGAGACTGACGAATAGAAGGAAAAGGAGATACTACACAGGGAGCACAATCATAGGGATGGCAACAGCCTTCTTTGAGTTCTGTCATATTTTGGGGTAGGAAGTAGCTAAAGTGAAAGAGAAAATAAGGATGGAGAGGGGAGTGCGGCCAGCCCAGCTAGGAGAAGGTGGAGGAGGAAGGATGTAGGACAGGAAGACACAGCGTAAAGCTGAGAAGAAAGTAAACAGGAGCCCAGAATATGCAGCGACAGACCACAGACAAGAGCTTTGAGCAGTCCCCCTACTGTAAAACCTCACATGAATTCTTTTAATGAAGAAAGAGGGTAAAAAAGAGTCATACATTTTATAGCCTAGATTATTAGAAGACCCACAATACAGTTAATACAATGAAAACAGCACAAACCTCACTTAATCTTATTTCTTTGGCAAGGTCCTTGATAAGTTGTGCTGGTTTGAAGTTTTCTGGTAGCTCATCTTCATGCTCTGCTAGAGCCTAAAACAGAACAAAGCCAGACTGCTGCTTCTGTGCATGGTTTTTTTGCGAAAATATAAAAAAACACTCACTAAGTGAAACATCAATATTCCTATATACTGAAATCAATACTGACTGCCTCAGTAGTCCAAAAAAGGAAAAAATAGGCTTTTTTTTTCCCTTCTGGATGTTATTGTAAATAGTTGTCTTGTGAGAACAACAAAGTCAGGAGTCTTTTTCAGATTTTCACAACTGTAACATCACTTTGCTCACCCCCTTATAGGAGATTCTGTGAGAAATTCCTTTTCTACATCTACAAGGAGAGACTGCCTTAGGCTGCTGTCTTCAGAGAGTGTAACAAGCATATACCTTGTCAGCAGACCTGTTTGGGAGCTCCCCCCCAGGGACTAACAACATTCGCAGTCATGTGTCATGTTACAATATTCAAAGTTCAAATTTACCTAAATGCCAACACAGTCTCACTTCCTTTGACTCACTACTCATGTGCATGGCAAGTGGAAAAATACACAGGGGGACCTGGAAAAGGGAGCTTCCACACCAGCCAGTCCCTCTACAGGAAACCAGGGAGCAGTTCTGAATTCCGGCTCAAGCACTGGCTTTTTTGTAGTAGGGAGCAGCCAAGTCCCTGACTACATTTAAATCTGGGACAGCCACTTAACTGACCTAACTGTGTATGCAAGATTGTGTACTCAGCAGCTCATCCCTTCTTAAAATATCTGAAAGTCCTAAAGTTGCTGGTTTCCCCGTTCACGTCTTACAACTGAATGGCCTGTCTCCTGCAGCTAATTCCCCAAAACTTTCGGAGCAACACAAGCAAGAATAACACTTCTGAAATGACTGCAGCAGGAAATTCAGGCTGCAAAAATCGCTTTAAACCTTCTCTCCAGCCAATATGTATTTCCTGGCTCAATTAATGTGTTGATTTGCAGGAACTGGGCACCTTGTGCACACAAAAATGCAGGCGTTTTTCTAGGTCTCGCTCACAGACACAATCTCCACTTAATTGATTTGGCACACGAAAATGCTCAGAGCCAGGGAGAACATTCACAGTATCCTTTTGGCTGTGTGCAGAATTGACTCACCTGGTCTGGTGGGAGGTGGGTCTGCCCAGGGCAGGGAGTTGGAACTGGATGACCTTTAAGGTCCCTTCCAATCCAAACCATTCTATGATTCGATGACTTTTTTAATGCTCTGGTGGTACCTTTTTTCCCGCTGACCCCTCGTGTGGCACTATGGAATCCCAGCTATCGCCCGCCCTCCCTGTTCCCCCTGTCCCTTTTCTTTGGGCTTTTAGAATTAGCTGCTTTGCTATGGAGACATTATTTGTTTTGCATTTGCTCTCTGTTCCAGTGAGTGACAAACCTGAGGAACATACAACATCAGAACAGGCTGCTTCTCCTACCTGTTTTTTAGTCCATGACCTGAAAGCACCATTGAGAATTTTTGCTCCTTGGAGTAAATGAGCAGGAGGTTGTTGCCCAGCTTTATGCAAACCTAAGTAGAGGAAAAAAAACAATGCCATTCAAACACTGCTGGCTAAAGTTAGTTTACATAAAATCTTTTATTTGAAAAAGTTTAATTGTGAAAGTTGACTCTTTGAAAGTCGGCACCACAAATGAAACCCTATTGTAACTTGATGGTAATAAGGAGTATATTTACTGTGTCATAAATCCAACTCAGCCTTCCTACACTGTGCTCCTGTAAGTTATGTCTACACTGGCAATCCTTCCGGTTCCTTTCTTGGTCCCATACTCAAGCTAGCTTCCACGTTCATACATCCTAGGCTGTGGGAATAAAAAGGTATCGTCAGCGGTTCTTTTATTCTGACTGAAAAAGCAAGTACCAATATGTGGAAATAAAGGTTATACTGGGCAAAGCATTTCACTTCCACACGAGTACAAGCTGGCCTAAACTTTTCCCCTCATTCCAGTTTTTGTTCAGTCAAGCACAAGGGGCCCCTTCCAGGTGACACTCAGAGGGACCTTGCTTATTAATTAGACACATTTTTCTTGTTGTAAAAGAATCTGGTAGGTGTCTCCAGCCACGCTCTGTAATAAGCGAAATAGAGGTGAAGAGCAAAGTGAGACCGAATCTGTAAAGAACATACATCAAATCTGAAGGAATGTGATCTGTAAGATTTTGAATTTCACAGAAAACTTTGCTTTAATTCTCAGTGCTCCTGCTGGCCACATCTCTGATGTTCCTGTGGCCCCGTGTATATGCGACCTGCCCACACACTTCCAACAGGATCGGCAGAAGGATGGGAGAAGGAAGTGTTACTCTATGCCTTGGGCTGACAGAGCGTGTAGTTCATTAGGTTAACACAGGGAATGAATCCAGACTTGACAGGCAACCAAAAACTAAAAAAAAAATAATGCTACAACATTATTTGCCTCTGAGGCAACTTAAATACACGTTATAAAGAAGATGAAACCTTCCCTTAGGCACAGGTAAGAGGGACAGTTGAGGTCCTTCCCAGAACGAGATGGCAGGGTACTAAGGGGAGAGCTAGACCAGACCAGCATGTTCTGCTGGTACGTTAAAAGTAGTTTTCAAACACCAACAAGACTGCTTTTGGCCACCTGTCCATCTTCTATGTGATGTGTCAGCAGAAATTAAGAGTAACTATTTTCAGGTCCCCAAAACTAAGCAATTAAGGCAGGCAAAGAAACACAGTTTTACCTTTGAATGTCTCTAGTAGATGCTTTCCCATATACCAACATGCAGTTTCGAAGTTTGGAAACTGGGTCAGACTGACAATTTTCAATCGTCTTTCTACTTCATATGCCCTGCAAGACAAAGCCACATGAACTTAAAGCATAGCAGGTCACAAGTATGTTGCACAGTGACAAGTGCTGCTCGTAAATGCCTGAGGTTCATTTTGCAGTGCTTCATTTTGTTGTGCTGTTATCACACATTCTGGCATCAGACCAAAAGTGAAACACAAAAATAACCCTAGTAAGAAACTCTGCGCGGGAGATGTAAGATAGTTTTGTTGCGTTATTTGTCCAGCATCAGTAAAGAACTACTTGTATTGTCTTACACTGGGCAAAGAACTCAGCTGAGCAGACAGGAGCTTATCCAGAAGGAAAATGGCATGTTCTAGGGGAAAACTGACAGTTTTTAACCGTTCTTTCTTCAGGACTTGGCCACATCAACCCAAGCACTCTCATATCCTTCTTGGCCACATCAACCCAAGCACTCTCACAACCCATGCGCTATGCAATAGGTGCAAAGACAGCTTGGAATAACTCAGCACGGGAGAACGCGGTTGAAGGGGACAAATGTGGGTACACTTTCTAAAATTGCCCATTAGAGCTACATCAACCTCACTGCAAATGTAGGCTAATTAATAGGGGAGAAGATGGCCAATTTATCCAAAACTGAGCCTCTACCTAACTTTAGATTTTAAAGACACATTACCTCATCTGCATTTCAACACTTAGACTGTGTAGAAAATGTCCTGCAAAGGCCAGGCAGTCTACAGGTGTTAGAGTTGCATAAATCCAACCTAAAAGAGAAAGAGAACAGTCCTAAGGATAAAAACTGGAATCGCAGGAACAGAGACTTTATTCACAATGTGCTGTTTACACTTTGCTTAGCAACTTCCTTCCTAGGTACCAATACAGCTCTTAAGTCCAAGTCAGCAACCAGAACTGCATACGCTTTGAACAAAGTTGCACTGGCCCCTTGTTTGTTTTGCCCAATAAAGATCCAGCCTAGGAAGGTACTATGCGCCTCCGACTCCAAGTCCCAGGACTACCTTCAAAGGTGGCAGCCAGCAAAAGGGGACATATTGCTCACATTACTTTCTTGTTACTGTGAAAAGCAGCAGCAGCAGCTACATAATAGTACCTGTTTTCTCATCACGATAAAAATCTGTGACAGCTCCTGACACTAACTTTATTGCAGTGCCAGAAACAGGTGTTTTCCAAACACTTATTTTCATACAAAAACCTACTTAAATTACTGAATCGCTATAAATTGCTTGGTGTTTATTCCACCATCTGTTCCACATATGGTCATGAAAGAAGTACCTACTTTCCACTTTTTACAGTAAAAGTAGAATTCAAGTGTGTAAACATTCTGTGCAAGGATTATACTCACACACAGAGAAATGGCACTACTGGATGCTGCCTCCAAAACACAAGTACCAGTGCTGTTACTTACTCGTGCTGCCTGGAAGCCTCAACTCAGACTGTGCATCGTGTGGGCAGTGCATCATTTAAAGGCACATAGAGGGAGAGAAAATCCCTGTCCCAAAGAGATTACAGTTTCAATAGGTAACAGGGAGTGCTGGAAACAGCAATGCAAATGAGGAAAGAATTGTTCATGGTGAGAGGAAGGTGAGGGAGAGGGGCAGGAGTAGAACTGCATTCACTTAAAACTGTGCACTATGTGCTGATCAACTCCTTATCTTTATGAAGATCCTCCCAGGAACTGAGTAAAACAAAATCCACCATGCCTAACCTACAATCTATCAAGTAACCCATAAAAATCTGTGACACTCAGGCCTTCAGCCTCATGTGAAACCAGAAATGCACACTCATACTTGTGCAAGCACCTACAGTTCTTTAGTGTCACAGGGAATCAATGACCATAAGAAGGTTTTTGTGGGGAGTCATGGTCAGTGAATTCAATGTGAATTCTCTGTTAGATGACAAAAAGCACCTATGTCATGGTTGGATACAGAGAGAGAACTAATGAGTTACTGCAACAAAGCTAGACCAAGAGTGGAACACTCCACCGACTCGTATTTTTAAAAGAGTGCTAAAATATTGATAGAAAGCAGGAAAAGTTCTGATTTTTTTTTTTTTTTTCTGTAAGCATACGAAATTATACTTCTACTGAGAATTAGACTTCACACTTTGTCAGAGAAAGTGGTCAAATCACATCCCTCTAGTATTTTGGACATGCTATTTCAGCAGCTCTAAAACCAGCAGGAAACCTCACCTGCAACAGCCTGCTCACCTGATGGAATGAAGAGCGTCTGTCCTTGTTTAACTGTGCATTTGTAACATTTATCTACTTGGTCTGCAAAAAACATCTCACTGTGGTTTGCCGCCGATTGCCAGCGTTCATAAAGAGAAATATTTGCAGAGGCTGGTTTGATGAGATAAAATATCTTTTCTCCCTGAATTAGAAAATATAAAATTAGCAACAAGCAACCAAAGCAAGCACTGCTGCACTGGCACAGACTCATGCACACACACACAAGCGCACACAACTATTTATCTAAAAGAATATATAGCGTTACATATTTTAATACTATTGAAATAGAATTTACTCGTTGGCTTTGTAAAGAATGGCTGAAATAAATAAATCACTAGCTGATCACATTTACTCAGATTTGTGGGACGGATGTTGCAAAAAGTTTACAGCGCCAGATTCCATTATCCTGTGAAAGTAGGACATAATATCTTTCAGGTCTTAGGTGATGTACATGCAGAAGGCATTAAACAAATATTAAAATCCAAATACAGTGAAAACACGTGGACAACTTTCATGCTTCAAGTGGATTCCTCACTCCGCAGACCCTGGCACCACTGAGAGTGTACCCGCTTACAGCAGTTAAGTGTCTGAGTATTTCTTACAGCTACAACAGGATCGTGGGGAAAAAAAAACAACCGAGACCTGAATTTCTGAGAGAATTTTAGGATGGTCTTTGCATGTAAAATGTAGTTCATTACCAGATAATACACTGCCAAAACATGACCCCTGACCTTCAGCACATGGTACCATGCAGAAGCTCCTCCGGAATCTATGTGGAAATCCGTGTAGCTGTCCTTCACACAGATCAGGCAGTACTTCGTCACTTTTGGTTTAGCCAGAAGAGCATCATCAGGCCAATAGTTTTCCACCCAGGACAACTTCTTAACTATATCTGGAGGCTCTACAAAACTAGACATCCTTTACAGAGAGAATTGAAAAGAAACATGCATCTTTTTAATAAAGAGTCTTACAAAAGGACCCTAATAGAAGAAGCAGCGGAGCGTGACACTAACACTTGCGTGGCAATCTGGAGCAGCTCCTTACGTGCCAGTGGAACTGCTCTGCATGCAGAGAAATTGTGAAAACTGGTTACAGACAGAGATTTAAGACTTTTTAAGGATGATGACTTAGCAACAATACGTTGACTTCTTCCAGGAGCAGTATTTATGATCAAGTATATGCTGTTTGTATTTTTCCAGCCCCTGCCTCTTGCTGCGTGGGCTCAGTTATCAACAGTGCTGTTAGCACAGCCGCTTCTCCAGCCCCCTTCAGAAGAGGATGTGCAATGTGTGCTCTCTTACAATTTGCAAGTTAAGCTTAGTATTAAAAATCCTAATAACAATAACATTAATACTTAAACACTAAATAAGTCTTGATCTGATACTGACAATCACAATGAACTTTTTATTTAGACTGACTAAATTACATTAAAAGCTCAGAGGAAGGAAAAAGTCTAATTTGGGTTGACACTGTGAATATATTTAAAATAAAACATATATAATATTCATTTATATAATTTATACAGGTGAATATATTTATTTGCATTCAGCATGTATTCATATTGTATATATTTATTTTTATAATTTATGTAGTGTATCTATAATAAATATATAATAAATAATATATATCACAGCTAAGACAATGTAGTGGCATGATAAACACGTATTAAAAGTGCTGAATTTTATATCTAAATCGTCTAAAATTAGGACTAATATTTGCAGGGAGTGGAGGTTCACTGTTGGACACTCTAAAATATCAGGTCACTAAGCGTATCTGCACTTCAAACTAAAATTAAATGATCCCATGTGTCATTTATGCTCACTGTCAAACACCTGATAACAATAGCTCCCTTTAAAATGGCAGGGAAAGATGGAGCAGTGCATTCAATTAAAGTGTCACTGTCTATGTTAAGAAATAAAATATTTGCTAGTTAATGTCTAAATTAGCAGCGTATGAGTGACAGCTCCAGCAGTCCTGCAGAACAAAAGACCTCCCGTTATTCTGGGATAATGGCAGAAAGCTAAAAAAATCTCAACTGAAGATACTGGTAATCTTTGAAGCCTGTAATTACCAGAGATGCTTTCTGCAGAAATGGGTGTGCACTACTAAAACACTAACTGTAGGGCTAAAGGTAATGGCTTTTAAAAAAAATGAGCTTGTAATTGTTCAGCCTTCTTTTTTAAGGCTACGTTGTCTTCTTGCTGAAATGGAATGCTCTCTAAAACAGCCATTCTTTATTTTTATGTTGACACTCATCATCTTCTGTGTAGCGTTTGTATATAAAGAACTCCCTTCACTCTCTGACACTTCCCTTCTAGAAGTCTAGAAGGACTGCGAGAAATTATCTGCACAGTTGCATGAAGTTCCATAGATTATAGCTGCATCTGCCTACTTCTGGAATAGAAGCAGAGCTCAGGTGATGAATACAGCTATACAAAGCACAAAGCAGTAACTTGAATGCTTAGGCATTCACATCAGCTAATTATCCCATATCTGAAACAGAGAAAACATGAGGAGAATAGTAGGCTGTCGCTGAGGATGGGTGATGCCCACACAGCCAGCACCATTACCTCTGCCTCGCTGCACCACTAAAGCCCCTCAGCCTCAAATTCAGAGCTACTGCGCACCGTCACAGCCCCCAACTTCCCATTGAGAAGTCAGTGTTGCTCTAGTTCTGAACTGCTGTCATACACACTACAGGTTAACTCACCAAAGCACCGAAACTAAAACTGTAACGCATGGTATAGGATTAGAAAATTATAGACATTTCAAACTTGCCCTCATTCAAGGACATCCAGTGACAAGGGACGCTACCCCTAGAGCCACAGCTCATCTATTTACTTACTCTCCGCTACTTTAAACAGAGGATTTCAGTAAGCAGTATACAATGCACTCAGACCTGTGCTATACAAGTAGGATGCTCACCGCTGTACAACCCATTTTACAAAAGAATACTCTGAGGACGCTCGGAGATCACCGTAATTCTAGATCACCTTAAGCTGGAGGAAGGACTGTCACTGCCTTATTTCCATTGGGATTCCCATCTCACCAGAAAAGTAACATAGAATATTAAAAAATAAGAGCCCTTATGGCCATGTTCTCCCACATACAGTTTTATCATACCTCTGTGGTTCTCTCTGTCCTCCCGTCTTTGTCTTACCAGTATGTGTGAGGCTGTATCAAAGTACCTCTGAGCATACCAGGAACACACTACATTAGCATTCACCAGCAGGACAGGGCCGCGAATTCGCTCCTGGAGCATCTAGTATGCTCTAGTTACAAATCACTAGTATCTAGTTGCAAGGAATTAACTATACCTATACTACTAGAGTTAAAACAGAACTGAAAGGTGCCAAGATGTTCTGTTCTGGTATGTAAACACTGACGGCACATGCCTGCTGATGATGCGCGGGTGTGAATTACCTGGACAAACGCTGGCCCATTTAGTCCACCGGGTACCATTCTCCTCGTAAAGCAAATAGCAATTTCATTTCTATGTTTTGCCTGAACTGGCTGCACGTGGAGGACGGAGTGGAGAGCCAGAGCAATAAGAAGGCGCTACCCCATGGTTAAAGCAGTACCTCCTAACAAGGGAAGCAGTGGAGAAGGCAGAGGCTGTCCAAACTGCCCTTGCCATGTGTCCCGGACACTGCATGGTGCCACAGGCTGGACTCTCACCTTGTGTCGGAGAACTCCAGGTTGGTCACATTGAGGACCCTTTTCCTGTTTGTACTGTAGTAGTAATCCACAAATTCCTTGAGCTTCATCTTGCAGTCTTTCTGTTTGGTGACATCAGTGACATCAACACTCCTCTCTGGTCCTAAAAATTAATTCAATGACAAAGAGAGATTGAAAGGCAGCCTGACTCACCCCATTTTCTACGCTTGGGGGCCCGTCAACATTTCAAGAAACATCTCCATCTTTTGATGTTCTTATCTTCTTAGCCTTTGTATCTTCCCTGTCGTTTATGCACGTATAAAGGCCACGTATATACATAAAATGTGTATGCATAAAATGGTGAGTTTGTATTCGTGCCCCTGACATAATTATTTCTGTAGTTTTTATCTTAAAGGATTAATGTTATTTTGAGTCTATTCATTTCATTATGGATTTTATTTGTATGGCAGAAATCATATGCAAATACCTGCATATCCCCAGAGTAAGCCCTACCCACCATGCAGTACAAGTCTCACGATTGGAGACAGAGTGCAATACTGTACAGGATATCTTGTCAAACTGATTTCTCAAAATTGTAAGTTCTCTTATGCTCTATTTTAAATTTTTGCTTAGGAAATCTATAACCAAGGAGGAGTTTTGCAGTAACATTCCCATTTTTTTAACATGATATTTTGGGTTTGCCACAAAAACAATTGACTTTGTTATTTTACCCAAAATTACACCTATGAAATATCAATCCCCTCTGTATTAGAGTACAGAGAGTAAGTACTAGTACTTATTCTGCTAGTACTGCTAGTACTTACACATTACCTCTGACAGACCTTGTTGGATATAAATCTCCAGTGTTAACACTAACAGTATTAGTCAATTAGTGGAATTTAACACTGGGGACACCAAAGAGCACATGGAGAAAGTCAGAGCTTCAAAGAGGGCCCATGTCTAAGCACACTCTCTTATCCTTTCTGCAAGAAAAGCATCTCTCCAGTCTTTCTTCCGTCTAGTTTTAATTGGCCTTATTTTTCCTCTCCCAGCGTTTCATTCATAGCTTTTTTTCACATTAGGAGAGGAAAAAAAAAAAATCAATTTGTTTTTCATGAGAGGCCAGAACAGTAATGATGTATTTGGCAGTCTTGGTTGTGGCACTTTGTCCTCTGCTACTTACTTCAGATTGTTTCTAAAAGACATTCTAGGTCCAATGTAATAACCTACAAAACAGCGAGATAAATCCCTGCCTGGGAAATCTCGTTCAAGCGAACTAACCCCATGGAGGTTACACCAGGGCATATTTGTTCCGTCCACTTTCAAATCTGGTGCCAGCTCCAAACAAGTCGTGTTCTTCCCTCCAGCTTTTCAACTAACTATGCTGTCGGCAGGGTAGATTATTTCAGCTAGAGGCTGAAAGAAAGCCAGCAGATGCGTAAGGATCACCTAGGTCATACAAGAAAATCTGCTAAGTGTAGCAGATGGGCAAGGAAAATATGTTTCCCGTAGAAGAAAATCAGGGGTCTTGAATTCTCCTTTATTCATAGTTGTCTCACTGCACACAATCCCTGCAAAAGCAATACGTACAGTCAAGAAGCCCAGTGGCTGATGACAGCACCCTCCAGTCTGGGGAAGAGGTCAACGGCCTGGGAAGGGGTGTGGAGGAGGACGGGGTGGTTAGCAGACTTTGTAAGGAGATAAAGGGACCATGAAACGCAGACAGATACGCTGGAGCTGGAGTCATGGCTCCAAAAGGCCCATCAATGCCTTGCCAGAAGATTGGAAGGCGAGATAATCAGACAGAAAGTGACACAGAGGAGGGACGGAGCGTGAGAGGACAAGAGGCAAGATCACATGTGCTAAAGGAAGAAGGATGCAGAGACAAAACAAGCGACTTCAGAGCACTTCCACGGCTCCTGGCCAAGGTGTGTCTTCCAAGGTAGGATGATGTGATGACTTGTGAGAAGATGCAGTACAATACCCGGCTCAGGGTAGAGACAGGAGAATGCCCAAATGAATCCAAATGACCAGCAGCAATGAAAACAGCTCTCACTGACAGCAGTGCTTAGAAATGTACTCCCTTTGCAGAGCGGGAGTCTCACTCCAGTAATTCCTTCAATACAAAGTGAGATGGCAGTAATCAATTAAGACCTGGCCTGAAGAAACAATTTTTTGATACTACCATGACTGTTCCTTTTTATGCAGTGCTATGGAGCACAACGCAGCCTGGCTCAGGCTCACTGGAGGATACACAAGTTGGTACGAGAAACAAGAGTGAATTAATTGCTAATTACAAGCTGCCACTACATAACAAATACTGAAGTCAGCATAGCTCAAGACATAGACAATATTTTACAATATATTTTACATTTTTTAATACAAATACTGTATTTATTTTTTTAAAGCAGGTGAGCTCCAAACAGTACAATGCCATCTGCTTGTCAGATACCCACCGACATAGTTTTCAACGTCGCTGACGTAGAAGGTGGGTGCAGGTACGGACAAACCCAGGCCGTCCTTCTTTGGGACGAGGATGGGCTCTGCAAAGCCATTTTCTTCCAAATACTCTGTTGTTAGTTGGCTGCCTGGCACTTTCACGACTATATCTTCAGCACTGAAAGAGTAAGCACAGATTCAACAGTGAGATGCTTCCATGCAGAGTTTGGCATCTTCTGCATTTCACTACCGAAAGGAAAACATTATGAATAAGCAATTATATGTAAATTAGGTGGGCAAGACAAAAGCCAAAAAGCCATTTATTGCAAAGCACGCAGGGCACACTAAAATCATCCAGAATCGATTTACTCGAGCCTCATGCACCAACTACTGGAAACTACTAAAATAACAGCTTATGGAGAAAGATCGTTTCCCTCCACTATAGGGATCTGTTGAGTTACCAACAATCAATGGTAAAGAAATTAGCGTTAAACGTTTAGCTCTAATGAAGTCAAGATTAAAAACATTACATAATCTCAAATAAATTGCCCAGGAAATACTTTGCAAATAGTTTTTAAGTAGTTTTAAATCTTTCTGAAGTTTCTGGGAGGGCGTCAGAAGGCAGAAGGAAAGGGCAGCTTCATCAGACGACCGCTATTTGCACCCACAACTCGCAAGGGAAATTCAAATCCCATTCCTAGATATTTTCAAGAGTAAAACACTTCAAATTTGGAGTGAGAAGTGACCGTTTATGAACAACCATCAGCCCCAAAGGCACCCTGCTGCGGTGTGTGGTATGTCAGCCATGCTCCAAAACTGTCCAGCAGGCCGGGGCGAAGGATGCCGGTGGGAGGAACAGCAAAACCTTGAGGATTCACCCCAAAAAGCACTACCTTCCAACAAGGTTATGGCTAATTCATGACTCTCCTGCAGCAGTTCCGAACTACAGCTCATGTCTTCATACGGCCCCCAAAAATGGCGGGAAAGGGGAGAAGGTGGTGAGTGCCGCCATGGCGGCCAGCAGGCTCAGGCCTCACCGCCTTGGCTGCCCCGTAAAGCCCAACCTGCACAGAGCCCCCGAAACCCTTCGCTGTGGGGGCTTCTCTACCAGCACCTCCCCACAGGGGAAGCCCTGGACCCAGGGCCCACTCCGGCCACCCCAATGGGGTTTGAACCCTGGAGAACAAGATGGCTGGATGCAAGGAGGGATAAGCTATAGAAACCCAGCTTATTTCTGCCTCACCCCAGCCACAGTGCATCAGCAATGGCTGATCAAGAGGGAAATTTAATGAAAAATTATTTAAAAGAAGTGTGCTACATTTATGTGAGTGCTGGTATCGTATGCTGGCAATGTGCAAAGAACAAGGGTGGAGATTTTAAGGAGCAAGAAGCAAACCATGATTCACCCCTAAACCTCTGCACTTACGTTACGGTGCCCATATATATCTCACCTACTTGTTCAAGTCTGATTTGCTTCTATATGTGCCAACTTACATATAGTCGTAAAGAGAGATCATTACCAGAGCATCTAGTAATGATCATGCCAAAATGGAGAGTCTTGCACCTACCCTGAAGTACCTGAACCCTCAATTTAGTTATTATTACTACTACTATTGCTACTGTAACGGGGTTTTTTGCTATTAAACATTCAAGGAGCAGAATGACATGAATTATACTTTTTGCCTTTTTGCTCTCTTCGCTGTTCCTTCTGATCCGAGCTGCGCCAAGGGACTAACCGTGGGTTATAATTCATTCTCCTGCGCTATGAATCAGCAATGATCATTTCTGTCGCTGAACGGAAAACCCCATTTTCTGTTCATCACGTTCTGACTGACGAGCTTTGGGTTTTGTTCTGTGAACATCTGCAGATTTCATTCATTTTCTTCCAAAGAGAAAATTCTCAACAAGACTTGTTTTTACTAACGGCGCAAATGTAGATGTCAGAGGCCTGAAACTTGCAGACGCTCCTTCTCGCTACAGACCCTTCTTTCTCACAAACTTTAATTGGCAGCAGGATATTCTTATGTGCATGTTTATGTGAGAAACAAACAAAAACCTGGTCTGTATTTTTTTTTACAATTTGGGAGTGACTTGGAGCTACTGCATATGTGATGCAACCTCAGAGGCCACCCCAGGTTACTGAAATCATTCTGCCTCAGCCTTAAACTTTGTTTAAGAAATTAACTTTCCAAACTGGCAAATTACTCTGTATAAAAAAAGAAAAAACACCAGGGAAAAATACTGGGTCCTGAGTTCAGTGAAACACATCTTTAAGTGCTACATTCTGCAGAGGTATTTTCAGCCTTTTCCTCAACCAGTATCTGAAATTAAATGTGAAATTAAATTCGCCATAAAAAAGAAAGTTTTGTGTTTACCAAGTACACTTCACCAATCTCCAAGGATTCTTCTAAAAGAATTAGTCATTAATAATTAAGGATTTATTGGGATAAGGCCTACATTAAAGGACCAAAAGAAAATCATCACTCTTACAAATGGCTATGAAGCAGCCTAATAAAGTGTGGAACATGTCACCTAACAATTAGCACTATTCATTACCCCAAATAAGACAGCCTTTGTGACCGTAGCAACTGAGGATGCCATTGTTCTTTTCAAGATGGAGACAGACTTCAGCAAAACCATTGGTATTTTTGAGTACTGGATAATACTATGCAATAAATTGGCTGGTTTCTTATGCAAGCAAATGTTGCAGGGGCCAAAAGCGTTCTTGTTCTTGTCTTCACAAATACCAGCTTCTACAGAAGTTCACAGGAATGGGGCTCAATCAAGAGTAGATTTTAATATGGCTGCACAAATATAAAAAAGGGAAGAGTCTGGGCCATCTGCAATAAAACAGCACTCGTTTAAACTTCATCGCTCTGTACCATATAATGCTTTCAGCAGAGATCATCACCAGCTTCACAGGAACCTGGCTACTACATAATGCTCTACCCCACCAGCCCCGTCCGTGCGTGCAGCTCAACAACCCACCTTGGAAAAGTACGACTTCGAAGTTCCTTTATGAAGACTTGGCTCCCGTTCTGTACAGGTTTGACCTCTGTCGTCTGTCCAGTATCGTGTTTATGCCAATTTCTTTTCTTTTTCACTGAAAAAGAATGAATTGGACAGTACCGTATGTTAAGTAGAAGGTAATTGTTAAGACATTTGAAGGAAGGACAAACCTTCATTTCATTTCTTACGCGAGCAGAGAAGAGGGAACCCCTACTATGCTGCACTGCAAATTTGAATATTGCTCTCAGTTCACCATTAGACAATTATACTGTAGCCTGAAGATCTATTACATACCAAACAGTGTTCGTTTTGTAGCATAAGGGCAACCAGACGGATAATTACTGAGCTGCACAGCTACCGCAGGCTTTATGCAAACACAGGCTCTGGACGCTTTGTACTTGCCAGACTACACGCTTAATCCTTATCGTAAAACTCTTAGAAAGTCCCTTTTTTTGCCTTCTCAATATGCAGTATAGATCTTTAGGAATACATTTGTCATGAATTACCTTAGTCTAAAAGTCTGTCCAGCAGAGGCAGATTTGACATCAATTTTGATGGGCTTTGAATTACCCCCTGCACACACCATGCGCATCAAAAGGAAAAAGAAAAGAAAAAGATGCGAGGACATCACAAATGCAATTTTTAGAACTCCTCTTATTCCTAGGTTTTGAAAAGCGAGCCAGGCTGAGGCCTTAAGTCAATGACAGGAGACTGAAGGCCCCCCCGACTGCGCTCCCAGTGCGTGAGACACACAGGCAGGTTCATCATGGAAAAAGGATCAGCTGGAATAAGCACAAATAAGTAAGTCAAATGTCAACGCAGTTCTGCCTTGCCGCTTTGACAGCCAGATAGTGGAGAGCAAGAAAAACTGGTCCAGTTTTTTCTCTTAGTCAGCACTATCTCCCTCAGCTGCCTCCACAGCCCGTCCGGACATGCTCATTTTGGAAGTAAATTGGTTTTTGTTCCAAGTTTGTGTTCATACTATTTCAAGCCTCTGTTAGTAGAATTTTCGTATGCCACAGCTTTGTTTTATTTTTTGCCCTTGTTTTAAATCATGAAACTCAGTATTTTACCCCAAAATCAAGACGTCAGGCTTTTCTTACTGTTCCAAACGGCTAAGGGAGGAACCAGGCTCCTCAGTACCCACGCACAGACGGCGCTCTTTCCTCGCTCTTTGCACAGGCACATACACACAGACCCACATACTTTTTCATTAAGAAAGGAATCTGGCAGCCACAGCTATAAGACACAAGGTTCGGGAAAAGCTAACTTCATTTTCCCAACCACAACCCTGGAATAACTCAAGTAAAGACATCTCCCAACGAATCCATCCCAGGTTTTGCACAAAGCATGTTGGTTTTATTAGTTCCATGCAGCTCTCCAGCCTAGCTGGATATATTCATTAAAGCTGCTAGTTCTTTATCTTAATGACTCTCAGGCTTAGTGTATTAATTCAATGCTCCTGGTAACAAAGGAAACAAGCCCTCCATGAATGCCAAACCTTCCTCCTTTCCTTCCCTTTCCGATGACTGCCTCCTCCCCCTCTCAGCATATCCGAACTGACACTGGGACTCTTCGCACAAGTCCCAGTGAAACAGGTGTCGCTTGCCACAGTGAAAATTAAAGAGCTTATCATATTAGCATGTTCTTCTATTACATTGCAGATAGCGTGGAGCGTGGCGAAATAAAGGCGGCAAATCAGTGCTGAATTAAGAAATTCACTGCAACTCTTCAAAAAGCAGCGGGGAGTTATTTCCCTCAGCACTGAGCGCTGGCAAGCATCCACCTCTCGCATCCACCTCCCCCGTCCCCCTCAACTGTCCACCTCTCCCATCTACCTCTCCCGTCCACCTCTCCCACCCACCTCTGGTCCACCTCTCACGTCCACCTCTCACATCTGCCTCTCCTGTCCACCTCTCCTGTCCACCTCTTGCACCCACCTCTCCCGTGCACCTCTCCCATCCACTCCTCGCGCAGGGGCCACAAAGATGCCTCGGCCGCCAGCACTCTCCCCAGGAGTTGCCACCTCCTGGATGGCAGCAAGCCGGCTGCTGTAGTCCATTATACTACCTCAAAAAAATGACATTTGGCCCATTTTCAGCCATTCTGTTTATGTTTCATCTTTACCATGAACACCACAGCAAGGATTAAAGGCCCATTAACATGTGCAACAAATACTACCTGAGGCCAGAAAGGCCACTTTTTCTTAAATGATTACAGATTTCTTGTTCTGTAGAACTCTCTGATCCAAATTGGACCATTGGAAAGTATAACCCGCTCTTTCTACAGAAAACTCTCCAGAGGAAAAAGGAAATGTATTTTTATGAAAACTGTACCTTGAAATGAATAATTCTAGACTTCAAAGGTATACTTATATTATTTCAAAGGTATTTATGAAGAAGGGATACCTAGAAACACCCTGTTAGTCCTCTATTGATTTATATTAAAGTTTGTAACTACTTAAAACCAGTTTCAGCCTGCCTTTGGTTTGCTTGCATTTATGTAACTTCACCCATTCCAAAGAATTTCTCCTGATTTTCACTGCTGCAAATGAGAGAGCAATCAAACCGAACAGTTCAGACCACGTGACGAAACTGAGTCAAGTCTGCCCAAACAAAGCACTTGCATTTTATTTAAATGATGTCAGAAAATTTGGTGTGATTGTGCATAAGTTTTCCCAAAGAGGAGTCCCTACAAATTTCATTAAATCAAAATGGTTTAGGATGTCATATGACGGGAAGCAATCTTCTGAAATAGTAGCCACTAAGCCGCATTGGTAAAGTGGAAAAATGTAAGAAGAGGAAAACGATTTTTAAATTTGACATCTGGAAAACATATATTGCGGAATGTGTGCTCCAGAAATACACATATATTTTTAAATCCAGACGAGTTGCATAACAGACAATTGGTGTCTGTGTTTCCCTTTGCTAATCTTGCAATAATTAAATCCTGCCAGTGAACGACTGGCTCTGGCACAACACTTACTCATTTATTTCAAAACCGATACTTCTAGATAACCAGTTTAAATATAGACTGTAACAATTAATAACCAAGGGGAGCGATCATCTCACAGAAGTCCCCGCAGAGCCCGAGCGCTGTGCAGCAGGACGCCCTGCATACAAATGCCTGACGGAATGAATGTGCTCAGCCAAGCTGTTCCTGCCTTCGTTTAATCGGTCGTTTAACTCTCCTGGCCTGTTGCACTCCGCAAGGAGGGGCTACAGGATAACAGCCTCATTTTTCAACAGGATCCACGATTCCATGAGTTAACAGTGAAAACGGCTGGAGAACCTGTCATCTCGCACTTCACCAAAACTCAAGGTAAGGTTATCAATAACCAACGTTTCAATGTTCCCCAAATGTTTACACTCGACCACTTTGACAATCGGTCTTGTACGTAGTTAAACTTTCTGCAACGCATTTGAAGGGACAAAAGTATTGCTCCACTGCAGAATTATATAATGTTCTGTCTCCCGACCGCACTGATAACCTCATACGTTGATGAGACCAGAACGAGCGACAGCACTCCGCAAGCACGTTCTGCCATGCTGCATGATGCAGACTGAGGGACGTACTGCCAACTCGCATTTTTATTTGCATAAAAACAACTGGATAGCCAAAAACCTTCTTTAAAGCATCAGAAAATCATCGTCTATTCAACTCTCCTCATCTTAACTGGCAAATTAAACCTGTAATCTTTTTATCGAAACTGCCATTTCTTCAATTCTAAGATTATGCACCACAGTTTTTATGGAATTGATATTTAGTTCCTGTTTATCGACTTTTGCTGCTTCTGATTTTTTTCCCCTCGCACTGAAAAATAGGTGCCTTTCATCATTCATAATTCAAAGCAAAGTGAAAGAAATCAAAGCAGCAGACGCCTCACAAAACTCACAGAGGCGAGAAATAGTGTGCTGCTCCTTCTATACTGGGTCAGTACCAGCCTGGGAGTCTCTGCAGTCACAGCCCCCTCTTCAACCCAACCCATTCTAACACCAAATTGTTCACTCGAAGATGATTTGCAGTTATTTGTTTGACCAATTTCCAGTGCGTTTGTCAGAAATCTTCCAGCAAAACATTAGAAAGGCTGACTCTTTAAATCAAAACATTTTGTGGGGACATACTGATTTTGTTAAGTCTTTCAGAACAAGCCTCCCAAGGGCTTTTTTGCCAGCTTGACCAATTTGTGGGTGCCCTGCTTGGGCCAAAGTTGTTAGCAGACCATCTGGGAGACGGGAACAGCTGCAGGTCATTCAGGTTCATGCTTGATTTTGAAAAAATTCCCATTTTTACCCCCAAAAAGAACATTTCAGACTCCTCCCCTTTCTCCATAGAAATTTTTTAAACTTTAACTTTAAAAGTTAAAGTGCAGAAATAATTGCTTGCTTTTAAAATTACAGAATTTTTAACACAGTAGAAGTCAGTTTCCAGGCATCTCTGGTTTTGCACTGAAAAAGGAACGTTATGATTCCTCCGGCTCCTGGGAGATGAGCACAGAGCTCTTCCTCTGTGTGCTGCGGTAAGGTTGCAAAGCAGTGAGAACCTCCGCATCATTGTTGCTTATTTACAATAAATGGCTTTCAAGTAAAGCATTTCATCTTTTACAGGGATTGGTTTCTTTTCTTTCTTTTTTTTTTTTCCATTGTATAATAGCAAGAATTTGTGAATTCATCTGACCAAAGCAAACACATCCTACATTTCTTTCCCAGACAAAACTCCCACTGAGATCAACTGTCACTTTTACTCAGGAGAACATTTTCCTGTGAAAGAACTGCAAGAATTGGCACCCTCGGTGCATCCTGCAATTTTGACTGCCACTGAAATCGCTACAGTTTTATATCCAGGCCAAGCGTAACATACTGTTTCTTACTCTTCTCATCCAAAGACGAAAAACACCATGTAGTTTCCAAAATTCACTGTATTAGAACTAGCTGTCTCTGGAGGATTTTTCTAGCCCACGGGACTAAGCGCCTTCACAGTTGTTAATTCTGTGCGAGGAAGGGAGCAGTGTTTTCATTGCCGGCACTGGGGACCGAAGCTGGTAAGGTGCCTGGCATCAGCTCACGCACACTGCCCAAGGCTGGGCCGGGAGCTGCACCCAAAGCTCCACAATCCACTTCATGGTTTGAATTCTAATAGTTATGACACGTGATATTTTGGTGTGCCTTCTTGTAATGGAAAGGAAAAAAAAAAAAAAAAAGCAGCTTCTTTTGTTTAACCATACAGAATCTGCTCTGTATCTGAGGACCAGCTGTGCAAGTATACTTACAAGTAGACTTTCCGTGGGTTTTCTCACAATTTGGACAATGATAGATGTCGATGTCTGGTGCCTCTTCTTCTTCAACACCCACACAGCTGGAAAACATGAAGGCAAATATTGCATTAGCTCGAGTCCATCTCCAAAAATGCAAGCATGCAGTTAATAATGAAAAAATCCAAACCCCAATAAGCCACGCATTTACTACGCAGCTATACCGACTGCTAATGGCTAAACCAAAGCAAAGCTTAGGTGCCTTTTACACTAGTACAGTCAGACTGGATTTTTTGCAGCCTACATTCCTGATGTGGTGCTTAAAAACGTGTCAGCCAGAAGCCCGCTACCACGCACCATGGACCCCCATTAAATGGTGGCAGAGAGTCCCAAAGATTATTTTTTTCCCCAGGAAGACCATTTTGTATCTACCCAGAGTTCTCCAAGCACCATCCCACATAAACCTAATTAACAAAACGCATCTTCTTTACTGAGCATGTATGGACAGCTGCTAGGGACCAGAGTAATCTTGGCAAGCTATACCATACGCAAGACTTCTATAGGTTCCATCTCTATTACGATATATGAAGACGAGGAGGAAAAGAAGACACACAGCACTTCAGGCTGCCAAGAAGATGGGTTGTATCATGGCAGCTGCTTAGAACACCCACCGAGATTCTTTTTGGATGGCACAACATATGCAAGAACACAGCGCAGCCTGCGGGCATGCCGCGTGAATGCAATCCACTGGCTGCACACAGCGCTGGGGAAAAACAAAACCAAACTGCAAAGGAATTAAGTGCCCAAGATAAGAAATTGTTGCGCAGTCGGAGCGCCGAGCAGCCAGCCAAACACCCCAACTCCAGAATGGCACCATTCCTTCTGACGGAGGGCAAGCAAACAGGATTCTGCTCCTGCTTGCTTGCTGTGAAGCTGCCCATGCTGCAAGGCGCGTTTGCAACACAGAAAAAAGGAGTTTGAGCTTGGTGCTGTGAGCTATGGCCCTCCTACCATGGCTCCGTGAGAGCTCAGCTAGGCAAGAGGAGCCACAAGAGGCAACAAAGGTAGCTTCACCTTAGCCACCTGTGCAAACAAGGCCAGATCACACCACGATAAGAGCACTCTTGGGAGTTCCTCTACTTCACAGCCTGAAATGCCTTCTCAGTGCTCTTCAGTTAGCACAAAAACACCAATACAGCTCTTCTGCTAGAGAAAGGGCTTGGGCACGGCCCATGGCAATGCTACCTCCATTCATATGGCAATGCCATCTCCATTCATACAGCAGCATTCAGCCTCCTTACAGTGCAGACCAACGATCAGTGCAGGAAGACGGATTCAGAGGTTTTTAGCGGCTGGCTCTGACCCATAGGAAGCAGAGAAGATGCCTGGTCCTCTCCCACAGGCAAGGCAACAGGCTGGCCAGTTCTGTTAAGCGACTTACAGAATGTCCCAAACCATTCTCACTGTGCTCAAGCTCTTTAGGACAATACCGCAGTGTCCAAAACTACAAACAAGCTAAATAATTAGAGAAATTCATGTAGGTTGGACACACCAGTAATCGCTAAACGTGATGGTCTCGATGTAGGAAGGCCCTAAACTGCTGGTTGCTGGCAGACGGGAAGGTTTTGGGACAAAGAAAGGACAACGCATGGGCACACGTGCCCACCTCTTCGATGCCTTTTTAAGCCTTGCAGGTCCCCGCTGCTAAGAACCAGCTCCCTGGCTCCACAGAGCTCGCAGCCCTCGATGACCTTGGTGGGGAGCGCGCAGGTATGCGGGTGCATACGGTGTACGTGAGCACACACGCAAACACCCGCATGCACCAGGCAGGAGGAGTAACTGCTCAAATACACAACGGGGGGTTGAAACCACTTTTGAATCCACAGCACACGGTGACGTGTAACTGTGAGCATCCTGATCACAAAACACCGATCTACTCGCTTTTAGAAAAGAGCATCAACAAACCCCATATTGAGTCCACAACCAAGGTGGGAAAAGCCAACCCGGCTAAGATATGGAAAGAAATCTTTTTTACAACCGTTTTAAATGTTTTGTCAAAATAAGATTCTGCCAGAAACCTTTGGGGATATCATCCTGTTGCAGCCACCAGTGTGCATACAGAACCCAGCTCCCTCCAAAGCAAATTGTCCAGGGGGAAAGCCAGAGAAATGCTCGTTTTTGTGAGTTCGGGCTGTGAACAGGCTGGTAAACAGGACATTACTTCTGAATTGTGTAAAAGCAACTGCAGATTTGGCTGTTTGTTGGGGTTTTTTATTATTAAACAGCTACTTGAAAAAATACCAAATTATCGGATCTCCCTGGGCAGACAGCATGGAAAACTGAAGAGTAAGTCTGCAGACAGGAAAAATCATCACAACAATCCAGTCCTCAGAGTCAAGTACGTACAGGCAGTAAAAGACCAGATTAAGCAGTAGAAAATTTAAACAAACCCTGGCAGATTAGAGCAAGCATAAGAGAATGTAGAGGATTCTCCTACCCATAAAGCTGCGTCAGCTGCTTATGCCACTGGAATCAGCTTGTTAAGCTTAGCAAAGGTATGGATTAGGCTCTGTACAAGGGCTTGAAAAGTCTATATTTAGCTAAACTAAGGAGATGAGACCCTTGGGCGCTCTGCATGGATTGCTACGGGAGAAGGTAGGAAAAGCCACCGCACTGGGCGAAGGCTTCAGTGTGGTGGGAGCTATTGTTCTGAGAGCAAGTGAAAATATTTAACCAGAACAAAATGGAGAAGTAAAAATAACTGACCTCAAACTCAAACGGTCCTTGAAAATACACAGTCAACTTTTCCAACTACAACATGGCTTTTGAACAAGGTTTGGCCACTTACAGGTACTCGTAGGCAGATCCCACTATCCTCACTGTACGTGGAATTGCCAGTAAACTCTCCCAAGAAGTCACCCTATTAAAATGTCTCCAGTGATCTCTAACCAAAATATGAACCGGTGCCAGTTTGTGCCCCTTTTCTCCACGAACAGCGCTTGACTCGCCAGGCATTTCCACCAGCGGAACTGTTTGTGGGCTTTCACGTGAATATAGGCATACAACATTGAATTGCCATCATTAAAGACAGACTGGCAGAGACAACCCCTTGAGAACATTTGTGCCAGAAGAGGAACAAGCATGTCCTGCTGGGTGTGTTGGGGTTTATGTGGCAAGGTTTTGGTAGCGGGGGCGGGGGGCATCAGCTCCACAGCAGTGATCTACCCTTGGGTCGGTCTCCAGAGCATTTGCACGGGTGAAGGAGAACCAGAAGACTGCCCGCCTTGGCAGAAGTGAGTGCGGAGTCCTGAAGCTGTCTCCCGCCTAATTTACAAATGTATTTTTTTCTCAGAGTGGTTAATTAACAATAGAATAGAATCAAAGCATTTCTCTAGCTGAAGAAAACCAAGTCATCTATGGGAACTGAACAGTGCTGTCCTCCCCCTCAATCCCCCAAATTTGAGCACAAATGGTGCTTTGTGTTTTGCATCTTTTCTTTTTTTTTTTTTTCTCATGAGAACGCTCCACTCCGGTCCCTCCAGTTTCTTTTTTCATCCTCATTTGCCTGAGAGAAACACAAACAGAAAACAGACTCGAGCCAAGTGTTTGAGCCACGACACAGACCGGGCAGGTTGCGTCCGACAGCGCAGGATGACGGGCGGCGCGCTTGGGAGCAGCCTCCAGCTGCTGGTCCCGCTCCAGCCAGCCCCACATCGAGCTGTCAATACCAGCCCTGGACACCTTACCAGCAACAGAGAAGGGCCGGAAAAAGCTCTCAGTAGCACTTTTCTGTGATTATTCAGATTCACTGATGAGATAAAAACGGACAGAAGAGGTTCAGCAAAGGAGCACTGGTACGGCAGAAGGCTGGGCAGGGAGCAGAGAGCCCAGCGATGGGAGGCAGAGCTGGAAGCAGCCTCACGAACAACAGCAGGAGCACATTTATTTGCTTCATTTCTGCCAGCAGTCCAAGAACGCGTTTCACAAAGCCCACAGACCACCCACCCCCCCCAAACCAGTGTGCTAACATCCCACCAAAATCCCGCTCCACTGCAAGAACTCACAAATCGCGTAGCGCAGCACTGACATCTGCGACAGAGCTGGCTAAAGACATCCTCCCAGTCGCACAGCGAGGGGACCTCACGGATGCTGGTGATTCCCTACAAGGAGGTGTGCGCAGGTACAAAGTGGGTGTCCTCCAGTGAAGTATTTAGAGATGTCCCTGGATGTCTGTGAATTATCTCCAGCTGCTGCTTTTTAACTGTGCGACAATTCAGGCATTTGGCAGGACCAAACACGTTCTTCTTGGGGAAAACACCAGGTTCCCAAAGCAAATTACAAGGAGAAAATTTTTCCTTGGTGAAGGAAGCAAGGAAAGCAAACTCCCCCCAGACATCCTGCAAAGCCCCGCGCTCACGGGCCCATCGGTGTTAACGCCTGAGAGACTGCAGCCGTGACACGGCCATTGGGAGCTGGGGATGGAGCCCATGTGGAGGGTAGGGATGCAGGACGCAGGAGCATCAGCCCTGCGGTGGCAGCCAGCACCCATCTCTCTACCTATAGAAAACATCCCATTTGACCTATATAGAACTTGTTCCACCTTTTTGCCCAAATGCAGTAAGGATAAGAGATTAATTATTGTGCACGCAAGAGTATCTTGTTGGAATGATTCAAAACAACTTAATGGTTGATTTTTAAATGGTATTTAAGTGATTTAACTCAGGTTGAAGCAGTGTGAAATTAATTTGATAATGAGATAAAAGTGAAACAGTATTACTGATGCATTTGAATTTTACCAAAACTGTTATAGGAAGGAAAAAATAATAATGAAAATTAAAGCTTTTGATATTGCAGCTGTTTAAGCTGATATATCACACATTTTACAGTGACTTAAATGAGAATTAGCACAGACAGAAGCATTTGCAGTCAGAGGTTACAAATTACATTTTTATTAGAAACTCTGCCCCTTGCCACTTGAAAACGAAATTGCTTCTGTGTTCACAATGAAGAGGTGTTCAGCTTTCACTATTCTGACAAAGTTAACAATTTTTTTTATGCAGGCAACAATAATAAAAGGTGCGTAAATCAGAACTGGTTTTATAGCATGAATGTTCATGAGGACCCTGATTTGTCATCTTCAGTGAGATGACATTTTAAGTAATTTTAGGAGAAAAATTAACCCACATAGTATCCATTCTACCAAAACCATGTAATCTCCATAATCAACCAGAAGACAAGTATAGAAAAATATCAAAAAAACAAAACAACCAAACGACAGGCTATTTGATAGGAAAGAAAATAAAATCGAGTAATACATAAATAAGAGTAGAAGGCAAAACAAGCTAACATCTTAACTGCTGAAAACAAACCAAAGCCGTACATTTTATCCACTCCTAAGCGGCACTCTTCAAACATAAGGCCCAAACATGAAACTTAAGGTTTTCAGACAGAGAGTTGGGTGTGTGAGAAAGGCTGCAAGCCAGCAAAGAGGGGAATGCCGGCGGCTCCCCAGGATGCTCGGCACCTGCGTGCTCCCAGGGGGCGATGATGATCCTTGCTCGATGCTACACAGCCATGGACCACACTGACTTCAGATGGGACCCTCACTCCCACCTCACCCCGCAACTACAGGTCCCAATTTCTGGCGTGGGGGAAAGCCCACCTTTCCCCATGTGGTACACAGTATTAACTAAGAAGGTCAATACAGTTGTAGCTTTTTGCAGATGAGGAATGTGCGATGGGTGGGAATTGGAGGTGTTTGCTCAGGTTACCAACAGGCCAGCACAGCCCAACGCAGGGCACAGGTCTTCAGAGCTCAGTACCCAGTACGGCGATGCCCGCCACATCAAATATGGTCAAATATGCCATTCTGAATTTGTAACTAGCCAAGTAATCTCTGGACTGTTCAAAGCCACGTTGGCTTTCCAGTATCTGCAGGGCAACTACAAGAAAGCTGAAGAGGGACTTCTTACAAGGGCATGTAGTGATAGGACGAGGGGGAATGGCTTCAAACTGGGCGAAATTAGATTCAGATTAGATATCAGGAAGAATTTTTTTACTCTGAGGGTGGTGAGCCCCTGGCACAGGTTGCCCAGAGAAGGTGTGACTCCCCCATCCCTGGAGGTGCTCAAGGCCAGGTTGGATGGGGCTTGGAGCAACCTGGGCTGGTGGTGGGTGTCCCTGACCAGGAGGGGGTGGAACTGGATGATCTTTCAAGGTCCCTTCCAACCTAAACCATTTGATGATTCTATGACTAGTTGTTAGATTCTGTGTATTTAACTTAAAATCTGTTTTCAACCTTTACCACTTCATCAGAAGCACGCTGAAGGCTTAGGGAAACACTGGTAAAACACTGGTAAAAAATGACACTTCAACTTTTTATTTCACTCAACCACATATCTGCTTCTCCTTCTCTCCCTGAACCAGTCCAAACACAAGTAACTTTTATTCCCAGACACACACCTGGGATACCAGCACCACATTAAACATTGGAAAGCGGTGATCGATGTCACCCTCCTTTCTCTTCCCGCAGAAGCTGGAGGTGGTATCAATGGTCTATAAGCCAGGAGAGCAGAGGGTTGTGCTGACGGGCCCACCGTGCAGCGTGCTCGGGGTCTGGCAGGGGTACAGGCAGGAGGGTGCTCAGGACCAGCTGATGGCTCCCGAGCAGCAAGCGGCTGCTCCACCCCAGCACATGAGGATAAAGCATCAAAGCCCTGGGTGGGGCAGCTCTCACAGCGCAGAAGAGGCATTCACGGCATTTTTATAGGTAATAAAGGTCATAATTAGTAATTAACCTGAGCTCATCCCTATCCCTTAACAACTGGTATAATTTCTTGATGTGTCATTTATCAGGCGATGTGCAAAAACGCTCTTACTTAAC